CAGGAACAGTAAGATGAGGGCAGCACACATAGATGAGACTATTTCTGTATATTTCCTATGCCATACAAAAAGACACTCAGGGATCCAGCTTAAACACATAACATGATCTGTATTCCACTTTCTTCCACGAAAGATGATATGCTGGGGCTTCACATGCTGATTTCAATGCAGAAGATTTCTTTGACTTAGCATAGAGCTTCTCCTAAAAACTATAGCCATAAGGAAAGTCTGAGGTGCTATAGTCATTGGGCTACACAGTTCCCTCCATTTTGCCCTTGCTGTCGGAAAGGAATAGTTAAATATAGTGGCTCTAGTGGAAAAGATAAAAGACTAGAGGAGTCAGAGCCTTGGTGACCAGAACACTTGCCTGTGATAGGAGACTGAGGGTTAAGTACAAGACAAGCTAAAGAAGACAGAGCACAGTGTTAAAACTTTCTCATAATGTCCTAGGCAAGAATCCTATTGCTGTTGCTTTGAGCAACAGATGGTCTCCTGATATTTGAGAAATCATGGTTTCATTGTGATAAAGAATGGGAAAACATTTGACATCTATTATCTTTTCAGACGATGTTTCTTTTTTTCAGCCTGGCACTTGCCTGCCAGGGGAAGCCATGTTGGCTACCTGCCTCACAGTGCCTCTCATGTCTTTTTCTGGGCAACCAGTGGGACACAGAATGAGCGTAGCTTGAAGTTCTTAAGTTACTTGGAACTAACTATTTGGGTTTTTTTGTGGGCTTTTTTTTTTGGGTGGAGGTGCCTTGAGTTTGAGTTGTGGGGCATTTTGCTGTACAATCAGGATTTCAGTATATCTACTGGGTTATGCTCTACTAGATGTTGACTGAACATCAGGTGCAAGACAATCCTGTAAATATATTTCCTTTTGCCTCTGTCATTTAGAAAAACCCTCAAATGCATAATGTTAAATAGTTTCTAAGTGCCTATACACCCAACTCACATCCTCCATTCCTTGTTCAACTTCTACTCTCTGCACATGACCTCTACCTCTCCTCTTCTGCACCTCTTATTTTTTCAACATCATTTGTACAAAGGTTTCTGAGATAATCTGCCTGGCTGGCAAAACTGACTGTGTCTTGAGATGCCTTTGTTCAAATCCAGAAGAGATCCTGTCAGATTTATTGACTTGAGTACCATGCCATGCCCTGTCTTATTGCTGGAAATGGTCAATATGGAAGACTAAAGACTTCCTGCTAAGAAGTGCATCAGGATCTCACAGTACCATGCTAAGCTGAAAAAGTTGCAAATGATAATATCAAATGTAATATGGAAAAAAGTATTAAATTTACTGTTTCTTTTAAAACAATTATGGAAAAGAGTTGAAGGAAAGAGTCAAACTGTGTTCCTCAGCAAATAAGCAATAATTTTTTCAAATATAGAAGCGCCTACAAATAATTATTTCTGTTTTTAACCTCTATAAATGTTTCTCTACTCTAACAAAAACCTAGGACATTACTAGAGCAGTTTATCTTGGGACTTTTGGACCACTGGTCCAAATATACTAGATAAGCAGATAAAGACGTCCAAATATACTAGGTAAGCAGCTGAAAAGTTGAGTATATATACCTTAATAACCAGATGTTTAATGTTTGAAAGACAATAAAACTATACTTAGAAAAGTTTCAAACAATTTGTATATTTTTCTTGTCACACAGGATATCAGTTATACGTTGCTGTTTTCAGCATTTACAAATGTTTACATAGAGCACAAAATATAGTAATGCCTACATCATCATTTGCTATACATGAACTGGAGTTTAAAAACAGAGGAAAATACTTAATACCTTGACAAGTTCTATCTATTTAATCTTACATGTTTTTTAATTAAATTAGTGATGCCACTTATCTATTTGACGGCAAAATTTAAGCTGATACAAACAAAAAAAATCTGCAAAAATAAAAAGCTTCTTCACAATGACACAGTCTAATAAATATGATCCTTCCTGGGTCATTTAAAATGCATTTAGGATTTTTCTTTTGCTTTTGATAGAATATTCCATAATGTGTTTAAGTTGAAAAAAAAAAAGGAATCCATGAAGTGTGGCATGAATTTTTCGCAGCAAGGCAGATGTGGAGTTATCTGGAAAAGCAGGGTCAGCACGTCTTGAAAAAAGTCTTCATTGTCATGTGATTCAGAGCTGTCAAAACAATTACTGTATTAAACATTTAGTGTTTTAGTTAATGGTAGAAAAATCATGACAAATCACTTAAAAATTTTAACCAAAAGTAAAGTTCATGATATTCTAGCATGCAAGCTGTTTTAATATTGGTTTTGTGCTCATATGGCAATAAATATTAAATTGATTTTATCAATAAACCACTTTTTTTCTTTTACTACAAAAAGACTAATCAGAGCAGTGTAAAAAATGTTCATCAATTGGATCTGGATAGATTTTTAACCTTTAAAAGCAACATATCAAACATAAAATTATTTAATAATAAAATAGCTGGTTTTCAAATTAACTTGAAGTAGGGTACCACTGAGAATGTCAAAACTGTCATCCTAAATGTATGAAAAATCTAATTCTTACTGAAGTGGATCCAACATGGAAGAAAGTTCTATTAAGAATTTCACTTTTATAATCCATTACAAGATATAGGTATCTCTCTATCAGCAGCTACAGAAGCATTCCTGGGTCAGATCAAAATGAGAGGGGGCAGGGGAGAATACAGGTAATCCATTACTTTTGCACAGATCTTGCCAGTTTGTACTGTTTACATTCAACATTTATTGGCATAGTCATGTAAAAAGAGAATTTAGAGGTTCAGGTTTGCAAAGATGCAGCTCTGGCATACCTAAGGGAAAAGAACAGAGAGGACTGATTTATTAAGGAATGAAAGTTAAGCGAAGAAAGGAGCATAAAACTGTGTAAAAACACAATGAACAGTGTTGTGGGTTGACCTTGGTTGGACACCACGTTGCCCACCAAAGCTACTCTATCACTCCCCTTCTCAGCTGGACGGGCGAGAGAAAATATAATGAGAAGCTTATGGGTTCAGATAAGGACAGGGAGAGATCATTCAGCAATTACCGTCATGGGCAAAACAGACTTGACTTGGGGAAATTAGTTTAATTTATTGCCAATCAAAATCAGAGTAGGATAGTGGGAAATAAGACCAAATCTTAAAACACCTTCTTCCCACCCCTCCCTTCTTCCCAGGCTCAACTTTGCTCCTCATTTCTCTACCTCCTTCCCCCCGAGTGGCGCAGGGGGACAGGGAATGAGGGTTGCAGTCAGTTCGTCACATTGTCCCTGCTGCTCCTTCCTCCTCAAGGGAAGGACTCACACTCTTCCCCTGCTCCAGCATGGGGTCCCTCCCACAGGAGACCTCCATGTGAGGGAGTCTCCAATGTGAGTCCTTCCCACAGGCTGCAGTTCTTCACAAACTGCTCCAGCCTGGGTCCCTTCCACAGGGTGCCATCCTTCAGGAACAGGCTGCTCCAGCCTGGGTCACCCACGGGGTCACACATCCTGCCAGCAAACTGGCTCCAGCCTGGGCTCATCTCTCTACAGGTCCTGCCAGGAGCCTGCTCCAGTGCAGGTCTCCCATGGGGTCACAGCTTCCTTTGGGCATTCCCCTGCTCTGACCTCGAGTCCTCCATGGGCTGCAGGTGGAGATCTGCTCCACCATGGACCCCCACGGCAGGGAGACAGCCTGCCTCACCATGGTCTTCACCATGGGCTGCAGGGAAGTCTCTGCTCTGGCCCCTGGACCACCTCCTCCCCTTCCTTCTCCCCTCACCTTGGTGTCTGCAGAGTTGTTTTCACACATTCTCACTCCTCTCTCATCATGCAAATGCTGCATGCTTGTTTTTTTTCCCTTTCTTAAGTCAGTTATCCCAGAGGCACTACCATTGTCACTGATGGGCTCAGCCTTGGCCAGTGGCGGGTCTGTCTTGGAGCCGGCTGGCACTGGCTCTATTGGACACAGGGGAAGCTTCTAGCAACTTCTTGCAGCAGCCACCCCTGCAATCCCCACTGCTATCAAAACCTTGCCACGCAAACCCAATATACAAATTTAATTCTAAATTAGGAAGCTACTGAGAAGGTTGCTCTGCAGAGAATATAGGGGAAGGAAGGCATGACAGATCTAACTATTTTTGTGGAATTTCTCAGTCCAAAAATATTTTATCACTCGAGACATCTTCTGCAATTTTTTTTTACAATTATCATCTATATTCTATTTGAGATGTTACAGAAATGGCAATCAAAATTAACCTAAAAAATTAGAGAATTCTCACCTGTTAAGAAGTTATCTTTCATATAAGATTTTGTGGTTTTCAGGAAGGTGGAGTTCAGACAGTTATGTTGAGCAAAATGGTGTCACATTAAAATTCCCACAGAAACTGGCAATTGAGCATAACTTCTTAAGCCAGGTAGTAGGCAGCCCTACCAGAAGGGATGTGATACTGGACCTGTTGGTCACCAAGGCAAGTGAGCTAATCAGAGACGTCAAGATTGGGGGCAGCCTGGGCTGCAGTGATCATGCTCTGGTGGAGTTCACAGTCCTGAGGGATAGAGGAAAGAAGAAGGGTAAAGTCAGGACCCTGAATTTTAGGAAAGCAAACTCAGCTTTTCAAGCAGTTAGTCAATACGACCCCCTGGGAAACTGCCCTCAGGGACAAAGGGAGCAGAACAGAGCTGGCAGAACTTTAAGGATGCTTTGCATAGAACACAAGAGCTCT